GCAGAAATCAAGCACCAATCGTGTCGATATTGCTACCGTACCTGGTTCTGGGGCCGTTTTGAGGCGGTTCCAATGGCCCCAAAGCACGAGAAAGGAAACACGACCGGTGACCATGATGCTGCTGATGCTCGCGTACGGCGCGCGCAGGGGGTGGTTGAAGGGCAGGGGGGAAGGGGCGAGAATCGGAGAGGCGACGGCCATGCCGGCCCGTGCCGCCATGCCCTACAATCACTGAGGCATCAGACTTTAACTTGCTATGTGAACTCACTCGGCTGCGTGAAGGCAAGATGCCAGTTGCCATGTTGCTTAAACAGATGAACCTTAAGCTGAGGGGAGGGGGACCCCTCCCCCCTTTTCCTAGTTTGAGAGGACCCGACAAGGTCTTGGACACGATTTTGACCTGCGCACTATACTACTTAAGCGACAGATGTTCCCACCTTTGTGACAAGCGCACAGCAAAGCTAATTACAGAATGGAAGTCCCAAGGAACTTTACAATCCTTGGCACAACGGGCCCCACTCCCTCGGGTGCATCCGGCCGCTCCATAAGAACTGAAATCATGTGCGAGATGCATGCCGAGGGCTACAAGATCTACGCTACTATTGGGACAGGTCTGGTTCACGAGCACGTTAACATGACCAAACGAGCGCACGGGCGAGGGTTGCAACCCACAATTGAGACAGCAAGCCTGTCACTCATGCGTGTTCCACAGGTGTCACGGGCGGGTAGAAGCCAAATACCCCAAGACTTGACGACGGGTCACCGCCTTGGGAAAGAGTGGCTTCTCGCAGGACTGCAAAGCAGCAAGAGTACAGCGAACCCCGAGGATCAGATACATCTACAAAACAATCAAACGATGATCAATGACACAGCTGCGATCTTGGTGGACCGAATTCGTATACATGGGTTGCACGAAACTAGCCACGCTATACTTTTCCCAGCACTGCGATCAGCATTGCCACGTGAGCCCAATCCAAGTTCTCCCCGAAACGCACCTGAACTGTATTGCTAGTCAGATGTGAGTTGACACAAACTGGATAAACTTTCCTGCGGAATACAGCATTAGCTTGCATCCACAAGAGCGCACGTGACGTCGGATTGCATGGTTTACGACAATGAATACAGCTCTTCAGATTTTTGATCGTAAGCTGAATCGCAGCTAAAACGAACATCGCCACTATCGGAATCTAGCAGCTCTACCAACGCGCGGTCAGCTCCCCGACGGTTTGATTCGCCCTTCTAAGAGTGCCTTTTTCGGTGCCCAAACATATCCATGTGCACTCATGACTTGAGTCCTCACCGTTGAGACTTGGACATAAGTAGGGCCGCCGATGAGTATCCACTATGTTTGAAAAGGTGTATGCAAGAAAACTCGAAGGCACAGCACAGCACAATGTCCGCGCAAGGACGGGAACCATGATGTGCAAATGTTGCCCTGTGGGCATCGTGGCATCGTCCCAAGCGTTGTGCGAAGAAACAAAAAACAGGCGAGAGAGTGAGGAAGTTGGCAAGTTGATCGGCGTTCAGACAATGGCCATCAACCCAAGGCATGCACACGATGGACGATTGATGCGACTTATGCGACATGTAGCTTGCTAGCAAGTCCAGTTCGGCCTTCACGCCGAAAGCGCTCGTGTGCACGGGCGAGATACTCAAATCCGCCGCTCTGATCTCCCAAACCTTCGTCAAGTGCTTCGATCTGGACTGTGCTCACCAGTGACTACTGGGACTTCGGTGTGGAGATGCAGGCCGATGCAAAACGCACTTGATCTAGAGTCGTCACTCGTCAGACTTTGGGGGCTGCGTGGGGTGTCCACGCACTTGCCCGCAGCCTGACAGGGCTCCAGCCAAACGTCTGGCTTCAGCTTGTCGTTCACGTTGTAATTGGTCTGCAGAGCCATGCAGGACATGGGCGTATTCATCAACAGCCACAGAGCACAGGCAGCTATAGCCTCTGCACATGGACGCTGGTGGTTCTTGAAGAAGCTGTAGTGTGTTGTCAAGTCCTTCGACCCAAGCCGCTGCTTCTTTCTGCACTAGTGTCGCTAACTGCTACCATCAACCTGAACGCCTTTGCCAGCGCAAGCTGGTTTACGCTCCAGACGCACGAAAGTAGAGAACGGCACTGGAGGATCACAGCGACGTTTACCAGTCTCCATGCGAAAACAAAGTGCCTCATTCAAACTCGGCCACATCCGATCATAGCACCTGCTAGATCTGATTGAACCTGACTGCACTGCTCAAGTTGTGTGAGGAGAACATCGTCCATACTGATACCGGCAACCAGCCGGACAGGTAGCAGTTCTTGCCGAGCACTGCCTATATGCTACGCCGTATGCTTCCATCATGTATTATCTCAGCAATTACCTCACCAGCAGTACAGTGATTACACATGGTTCATGAGTGAAACTCTCACCACAAAACCCACGAGTTCCCCCGAGGCTGAGACCTGAGTCTCCTACAGATTGCCGGGTCTTTCGCCGCGGCTCTCGCTGTGGCGCGTTGCACATGTTCGCCTGAAAACGCTTTCTTTAAAAAGTCCCACGCCGAGCGAATCCACCACGGACGCCCGAGTCAGAGCAAACGCACTACTGCGACGCTTCCGAACTTGATGAATCGCACTTCGGCCACGGCTACAGCGCCTCAGGTATTTTGGTGTGCGACTCGTCTTTCGGCCACAGGCCCTGCCTTTTCGCCTCCCGGTTCCCTGCTACCACTCTCCCACCACACGACCGACCTCATTTTTGACTGCCGTGTTCCGCCCTGCTCCCGCCAGAGTCCCGCACAATTCCGCCTACCAAAGTCGGGCTCGCATCAAAGCCCCGTTCACATTTTGGGGTGCCAATCGCGCTTTTGCAGGTGTGTGGTGCGTATGTTGCACTCATTCGCGGAACTGCCAAATGTCCTGCCCATGCTTTTGCAGGTCTTGTTCTTTCTTCTCCTTCACATTGTTGCAACCCGTAATTAAACTGCTTGCTGCAGGACGTGGATCCTGGCAACTTAGTGTTTCTGCCGGTTGTGCGACGTATTGCGCGCATTTGCCTTCGTTCTTCCCTCGATACTTCTGGCAACACTGTTTCTTGTGCTGCTGGTCTGCCTGTTCATTTGCAGAAGTAGTTGGGGCGTCATATTGCTTACCATTGCTTGCTAGTTCTTTTGGAGCACGTGCACTTGACACAGGCGGTACTATGCACCAATCACACATGACACAATATATCGAACATCTTGAACTACAGTCGCCGGGCCACTGAAATCCGAGAAACGCTCTGTAGAGTCCTTGAACATCCACCTAGAACGAACTGGCAACGAATCATTCGCCCAGGAAACTATTCACCATCTGTCTCAGACAAGCATCTGATTGCTTTCTGGACGGTCACTATGACTTTCGTTAACTTTGCGAGCATCATTGGGGTTCGCAGTGAACACACTGTGCTTGCCACATTCCTCTGTTCACGCCCGTCGCTTCAGTCGCTTGTAAAGGCTACAGCGCCACGCGTGCGGCTGCGACGTAAGTGTCGTTTCCTCTGCCCAAGGCTACCCTTGAAGTGCCTTTCTCCATCGCAGTCCCGAATGGCCTTTCCAGACACCTCAATGCAGTCACATGTCGACCACCCTCGAGAAGTTGCTGCATTGATGTTTGAGGACCGACATCGAAAGCACGTTCGGTGCCTCCGACATTCCAAACAAGTCACAACACATGTAATTAGGTCCTCGTCAGAGAAGCCAGTGCCCGCTTTGCACACAGTCTGGAATTCTTCGTTCTGCAAGGTGGGAGCAAAAGAGGTAGTCAAGTTGGTCCGAACAAAAAAAGCTGTGCCCGCCTCCTGATCGTAAATTGCAAGGAGGTATGCGCCGTAAGCTCCAGATCGCTTGCCCTGCTTCAGAGGTGTCGAAATTCGCTTTGCTTTGCAAACGTCCCATTGTGATGAGCACGCGTCACTGTCCTTCCCGTAGTAGGCCCCTATCGGCACCACATCGATGCTGTCAGCCATTCCTTCGAGGTAGTCCTGCACGCCCATACACGCGAGGCATGCTCAAGTCACCTAGAGTTGATCTTCTGGCTGTTCGTAGCAGTCTTGTGACAGGCGCCGGCCCGGAATCACCGGGATTTCCTGAAAACACTTACTTACGAGATAGATACAAGAAGAGATACAACAACAAATGCGAGAAAACTACGAATGGAGAGGTCGACGTCAAAACGAAGCGAAGTACAAGAACAACGGCGTAAGTCTGGAAATCAATGGAAGCCACACAAAGCTAATGCGAGAAAAATGCGGGAGATTGCGGCCAGAGCCAGAGCCTGGGCGGCGGCCCTGGAAGCGGGCGATGTATCGATGTACGAATTCGTGCTTGTCCTTTTCATTTTCTCCCGTGTTTTCTCACACTTTCCCGAACACTTTCCCGAGCACACATGCATTTCCTGCGCCGGGAGGGTCTTGGCGGGGAAAAATCTGAAACAAGTAACGCCAGGAAATTGCGGAGGATGGCCAGGGCCGGTGGCGGGGCAAGGGGGTACCTCCGTAGATGTCTCCTGAACATGCATTTCTGGCGTCTGGAGGGTTGCGGTGGCAAAATGTGTGAAAATCTGAGGAGAAACACAATAGAAACACCAGATGCGAGGTTGCCGTTTCGTGTGTTTGTTGTACTTTTCTCGCGTGGTTCTTGTATTCCCTGCTGCTGCTGAGTAGTGGATTATTTGAATTTGTTTGGCAGCGCCCCAGTCATTCCGGAACAAGAGGCAAAGTGAGGTAAGGTATTCTGAATCCCAGTCCTTCTTCAACTTCAGCCAGTTGAGCGACCTCTTGGATGGCTCGTATGTTGCATTCTCGGTCAGGGTCTTTAGCATCAATCCCTGGGCCGGCGAAGCATGGGCAAAATGCACAGCCAGGCCGATCCACAAAGGCAAGCTGCCTCGCACGATCCCGCAATTGATTCATCCAAAAACGCCTGGCCCCAAAATTCGTCTCTAGCAGAAACATTGCAATAGCTACGGCCACTAGAACCTGAATCTCCTCCTCGTTGATTTCGTTGAAGTTTCGATACACTGCAAAGGTGACCTTCAGGAAAACATGTCCGGACCACGACAGAAGACACAAGCACACTGCCACGGCCTTGCCCTCAGCAGGCGACAGGATGCTCCACAGCTTCTCCCTCCTGATTTCCAGTGGCTCCTGCATATTGGGAGAATCTCAACGAGTTAATCGGTAAACTTGAAGTAACCGAATGGACAAGCACCGAACGAATCAGGTTTAGTTGCAGAATTATGCGTCAAAGATCTGCGTAAACATAAAGCAACCTGCAGCATTGGAGCTGAAGTACCTACGGTGAAGTTGTCATATCATCTTCAGCAGCACACCTACCTTTGGTCCCTCTATCTTTTCTGGGACAGGTCGTGGCCCGCTTTCCGTGTAAACATCCCAGCTCCTCTCTTATGAACGAACATAACAGCAAGCAATGATAATACTTCGCCGTCTTAGCCAATCATCCGTAAATCTAAATGTTGACCATTGTCTTGCACCCATGCATGCCCTGGGAAAAGCCATGCTTCCTGTGCGACCTCCAACTGGCGCATTGCATTCACAAGGCGAAGGCATGAATTCCTTGACCAGAGGTTGTCCGTTCACCAGCATGCAGTCAAAGGCAAAGAGACAGACATTGACCTGGCGACATGTCCGATGAGTTCTGCTAGCAGCGCTGATGTTGAAAGCACAGCTTCCCATTTTCAACGGTTGTGACATCCTTCCGAGGGAGAGGTATCGTAGCCACATCAAGTTCCGCCTTGATGTCCTCCACAGTAATGTTTTTGCGGCCTCTTGTCGTCAGCACCTGGCATGCCCCATCACATCTGTTTTGATGTCGCTTGCGACGAACCTGCTGAAGGATCTACAGCTTCGGGTCTGTTGCTAAGTATTGCTAACAAAGCAGGGCCGCATCAACACTGGAGGATTTCGGGTTATGGACGGCAGCCGGTTCTTGGAGGGTTCACCAGGATCTAGAAAAGCGTTGCTCAGGTCCTTCTCTCGAACGGCTTTCACCGGATTCTTGCAAACATCGTTGATTGCACGAGTATTCAATCTGAACAATTCGAGGCAGTTGCTTTTCCTGTTCCGAGCAACACTTCAGCAAAATGTGGGAGAAACGGCGATTGCACTCATGGACTTGACGCAGCGGAAAACTTCGATGAACGCGGGTTTCACTGCACCAGCGAAACATTTTATGTTGGCTAAAGTACCTTGACCCACCTGGCGGTGCTAGCTGTGTGATGGGTGTCTCACTGCTGCGCAAAAAACTCGTAGCACACACTGAAGCACCAGCTTGCTGAGCCGCGCCGGCTTAGCAGGCTCTTACAACACCGCAGATGGAGCTTCAACGAAACCAAGGCTGGCAGACCTGAAAGGGCAAAATCTTCCTGTTGACCTGGTCGAAGGCTACCAGTTCGCTGTCGATGATGCAGCTTTGGACGTCCTCCAACATATTAGCTCAGTTGGAGCAGCAGCTTCAGGGCCTAACGCATTCCAGTCCTCTGAAAGCGATTGCTTGACTACCTTGAACCGAGAAGAAAACTTCTGCCATAGCCGTTGACAGAAACGCCGACCTCGATGACATCGGGGTACTTCTCCGTCATGTTCTCAGAGTTCCGGCTGTAGATCTGTGTGGCAGCAAGCTAAGCCTGCCTGCTCTGTACACTCTTCACAAGTGTCAAACGATCCCAGAAGGCAGCCTGGATGACGTCCTTGGACAGGACATGGATTTGAGCCCGCTCGCCGTCGTATTTCCACTCACCGGTAAATCGCTTTCCCGACAGCCTCTCACCGACCTGACATGCCACGGCTGCATTCAGGGGCGCCCTTGTGGCAGAAGTGCGTCGCCTCGGCTATGCCCTTGGAAGGTTTGGCCAGCCTTTGCAGCACCAGACACCACACTCGCAGCACACTCGCAGCACAGCATGCTCGACAAAGGCACCACTTGGATCGACAACTATGGCCGCGACATTGGCTTCACTGGAACTCCGACAGAGATGCTGCAAACTTGGAGCAGCGAGCTTCCTGGAGGCGCACTGCACGTTTCGCCTCCACAAGTGCCTCAAGGCTTCCCGCCGTCTCGGCCCTCCATGAGAGCTGCCACCAGCTTGTCCTAGCAGCGACAGAGCGGCCACGATCCAAGATGCCCCGAAGGCCCGAGGGCTGGGCAAAGTTCGGCATCTCGCTGAAGGCCTCGTTTGTGTTATCTGTCTCGCATTTGCCGCCGGCCCTCGATCCCAAACGTTCCTATACAGAGCTGGAACGTAGTTTTCATCGCTGAGGCAACACTGCTCTCGCAATGCCGGACTGGGACTGGCACTTGTCGTACCGCGGCCTCCATAGAAATCATCTGTGGCTCCAGTTCCGCTGCGGACAGCTTGGCCTGCAGTTGCAATGTCTCATAATGTCTCATTCTGCTCGTGTTGGAAGTTGTTCAATTCACGCCTGGCCATGTCTCCTGTCGGTCACAGCCGCAGGTCCGCAAGACTTTCCGGGCTTCGTGAGCGTGAAGGCGTAAGCCAGAGCCTGGCAACAGGGCCGTAAACATAAACACACGCGACGATGGCGGAGGAAACGGCCCAGAGCCTGAAGAAGTGTTGGTATTTGAATTCCGATTCGCAGCTTCGCCTCACTTCGAGTCTTATGGTAATCATGGCGAACAGCGATGTCGTAAACCTAGTTCAGAGCACAATCTCCAGCTACACGCGCATGTAAATGTTTGCAGAGAAGGATTTTGCAGCACCTCACAAGCTGAATGCACCGATTGTTCCAGATGCGGAGCAACCCTACAAGAACAACTAATCGATTGACTTTCTGCCATTCTCCATCCTGTGAGCTGAGTTACCTGGAGCAACTTTCTCCCCTCACTCCCTATCTGCCACGGGCGTTAAACAACCCTGTCTGCCCTGATCTTGATCTATTGCAGCCGATCATTCAGACGCCGGCTGCTACCGATGCAAGTGAAAATCAACGCCGGAACATCCTTGCGAGCATTTACGAAGTGTCGATGTGTCCTAGGTGCCCAACTTGCAGCATGCGCACGATGAACTTTGCCTCCGTTTCAACAAGGGAAACACAAAGACTCAAGATGCAAAGCTCCCAGAGGCCTCCTCTCCTCTTGAGGCCACCAGGAGCTTCTGAATCTTCTCCTGCAGGAAAATACTCTTCTTGCAGTCGCCAAGGGGTTTTGTGTGTTGGGGATGCAAATCCGTCCTTCTTGGCCTTTTGAGACTCTTTGCCTGCTGAGTGAGCAATTGCCTTCATCTCGCTGAAGACCTACGAATTCTGAGCTCGCGAGATGAATCCAGCTATGGCGGCATAGGCAGCACCTTGGCAATTGTCAGCTTTGGTGGCATCATCAACATCTTTTGCGACCTCGGTCCCATCAGGACAGAGCAGCTGTGCTCAAGCCGTCCCAGCACCGGCATGCTGAAATTGCTTACTGCACTCTGGAAGTTCGGCAGAGCTTTTGCACGTCTGTCGAAATGCCGGCGATTGCTCTTTCGCACCGCTCACAGCATGGACTCTCTGGTGGAGTCACCGCACAACTCACCATCTTGTGTGGGAAACAACGAAATGTCGAAACAGGTCAGAGAATGGTTCAGGTCGCATCATAGCTTCGACTGCTGTCCGGCAACAGACCTGAAATTGATCGGCAAACACGTTGCACCAGGTCAGCAGCAACAGACGAACAGTCAATGATTTAGCGCATTGACATCGCAAGACAAGGAAACTTCATGCGGCAGACTCCGTTGGATTCGATGCCGCAGGCGACGAGGCAGACGCACCTCAACTGTTCGGGATTTGTGTGCCGGTCGATTGGTCACAGATGGCAGGTGCCACAACACTCCATGAAGTTTAGCGCAGACCCCACACACACACACACACACACAAAGCATCTCATCACAACACACACGCAGAGAAACAGATACACGCAAATCTATGGTCAGGCGTCTGGCGTTCCCCCCCCAATGGTATGGTCTGGAGGGGTGGGGGGGGGGGCTGGCGTGTGCGGAAAGGCGCCAAGGGCCGTTGGAGCTGCACTTGGTTGAGGGACGCAAGCCATACGCAAGCCATAAACCCTATAACGTAGGGCGTGCTTTTGTTTCTATCAACCTTAGCTTGTACTTTTAAACCCCACACTCAACCCTAAACCCCGCCTACATGCCTACATCAGAACATAAACCGTCAACTTTAACCAACATAAACCCTCCCTAAGCCCTTGTCGACTTGAAGCCTTATACTTTTAAGCCGCAAACCCAAAAACCCCAAGAAATCTAAAGCTAAACTCTAAACCCCAAAACCACCACAGGGAGAAGAGGGACCCTACAGGAGGGGAGCCATCCTGGACCATGGACCACGAGTCACATATATCCACACACGCACAAATGCGCACACGACTGCATTCATGCATGCATAGTATTTGTTCGTGCCTTCTTTGCACGCATGCACATGCACAGCCTCGGCTGGGTGTCAATAGCCACACCGATTGTACTACTCTGTAGGAAACCCTCACACGCAAAGCGTTGTCTTAATCCTGTCACTGCCACACAGGAAGCTCCCATTGATCAAACATGCATGCTCTCAGGGATCAAATTCGACTACTTGCCAACAAAAACCTTTCTCCAATAGCAGATCTTATCCCACTGATGTTATATATATACTCGAGCCGTGATGAAAAGCGATAGTAAAACACCAAATCTTAACGAAATATTGGTTGCCGGCCCAGATAAAAAGAACCGCTGTCAAGGCTCCATTGCTGCGGAACACGTATCGGTCCGGATCCGATTCGCGGAACTCGAGGAGCCAACTGATGCCATCCTGCATTCAAGAAGAACATCGAGAATCAAAGGTGGCTTGGACATGCTTGCAATACAGACTGCAAGGTTGGTCCGAGCCTGCAAGCGTCGTTTTGTCTCGTCTCGCAGGCTGCGCAAAACTGCGCCATTCTCTTCCTGTCCCTGGAGCTGCGCTGTGCGCAACACTGGCATGATGCGGAAGTAGACCTCGCAACTACTGCATACCATCACATCTGGACATCCAAAACAGCGATCCTCAAGCGACCCTCACAGAAAAGCGAACCGAGCAGTCCAATCACACCGAGCTGAGAAGCCTGCCTTCTGGGCCTCAGCACATCAAGCACCCTTCCAAAACAAGGACTAGGCCCAAACACGGCTCAAGCAAAAACACATTGTCACAAGCACGCGTGCCGTCAGGGCAAGCTCTAGATCTTAGATTCCAATTAAGTATTGAAGTTCAAGAAATGACGCGCAACACGTAATGCTGCTGCAGCCGCATCGTTCGACATGGACTGCACTCGATGCGGCGATGCGGCAAACACATGCAAATCGACAGACACTGCAAACAATCGGCGCACTCTGACCCCC